AGAGATTTATGACAGATAATAGTGTTACAATGTCACTATTGATACATTTTTTGAAACCGTAATATCCTACTTGTACCTATAGCCCTATAACATGCAAAAAAAAGCAAAAAAAGCACGTAAACACTGGGTATTTTTAAACTCAGGACAAAATTTTGAATCTATTTAGCAGTTTTTTTCATTCGCTTTTGTAGATGAGTAAAAGATTTTTCAAGTAAAAGTAAAACAACAGGGTTTTTTTTCAATTTTTCATCATATTTTTTTTAAATTAAAATACAAGCGATTATATAAATAATGGTATGTAAAGAAAGCCCATTTTGTCCTGAAAAAAAACAATATATAATTTGTATGGGAACAGTAAATGAGAGAGCAGAAAATTACAGCCAAACACAAACACCACAAAAGTGTAAAAATATGCCTGGTCGCAAATGTACAACATCGCAAAAACAGTCCAGTCCTTAAGGGGTTAAAGACAATAAGCCATTACATTGAGTCTAATGTGCATCAACTGCCTGGCGTGGGAGTCCTTAGTGATGGGAGTGATACTCCCTGGTTATTTGGGATTATTTAGCCATGTGGCACTTTAATTACTAGCGAAAAATTCTATATAACTCCCTTTACTCCTGAGTAATTTAGCATACATGCTGGTGCCATGGTATTATCCCTATAACAATTTCTATACTATGTATATAGATGTATTTATGTTATTATGTACTATTATGTGTTGTTTGTATTTTTAATTATTTTCTATCTATCCCTGTGGAACAACATACCAATTATCCTGATTACGTTATTTGCAAACAGACACGTCAATTTTGACCTCACTCCACCTTGTTTTCACCTTCCAATGAACATCTGATCACTGCATATTTAAAGGCTGTTTTTTCACTGTTTAATTGTCTTGATAAAAGTCCAGATGGGACTGAAACATTGACACTTTTTACTTTTTTTTGCAATAAAGAAGCACTATTGTTGCAATAAAGAAGTCCTGTGAGTGCTTTCCTACAAGGTATTATATATACACACACAACCAAGGGCATAAAGGAAATAGTAGGGTGGTCAGCCTATGCCCACTAACCCATGCAGCCTTCATGGTGCTGTGTTAAAAGACTCTTTCCCTGCATAGCTACCCCACCAGCTCCAGTCCCCAGTACAGTCCTGTCCTGGGTTCTCCCACATCTGCGAGCTGTTGATGGTTCGGATAAAGACTCGGGATGTGCTCACGGGCAGCTTGTTACATACTGCCCAAGGGTGTGAGCTGTGCTTGTAACAACATCCTCGTCTGGACTGGGGTTCAGGTAAGCGGCTGCGGGTTGCTTTGCGGCATCTCCTGAGTCAGGGTGCCTTCTGCGGTCTCCCTCTTTGTTCTTTCTTATGCTGCTTCTCAGTATTGCACTTCTGTGCCGGCCTTTGTGCAGGCCTCTGTGAAGGCTTGAGTGCAGCCCTTTGTGCAAGCTTTGGTGCAGGCCTCTGTGTAGGCTTTGGTGCAGGTTCTGTGGTGGACTGTCAGGAGACATCTATAACTGATTGTCTCTGCATCCATTTTGTAAGCTTGGCCAAGAGCTGTGACCAGAAGTGCTCAAAGGCCCACTCGATTTGGTCGTTGTGAGGGGCCACGACACTATGTTCCCTCATAGCCGCCATCTTCTCTGTGAGTATGAGGTGCTGAAGTTTCTTGTGTTTGGTACTGCTTTTTTCCTCGCCTCAGGCTGGTTGTAGTCTGACACCAAGTGGGGCCCGGGATATAAATCAGTACCATCATCACTCGTTCACCATTCTATCATGTTCTCAGTATGGATTACCTCAGGGCAACATCAGCTGAGACCACATCACCTGTACCATTGTGGCCATTGGTACGGATTGTTGGCAGAAGTTGGCATGTTATGCTTGATTTAAATGTCAATGCCATTCTTTTCTGTTTTGCACTGTGGATCATACCTGGAGTGTTGGGCCACCCTCTATCTGGGACAAGAATCCCATCTAGACCCAGAGGAAACACATGGAAACATAGGAACGCATATGAGAGATTATGTCACCCTTTTGAGAGCAAGCCAAGAACCTCTTATAGGAGTTTTGTTTTCATGTATGATTCGGCAGATAGTATTTCATTTCTTTAATATTTATGTTTTTCAATAAGCTCTGCCTTGGAGGGGCAATAGGTTTGCTTCCAGTTAAGTGCCAGGAGATTCCTGGCGGCTAATATAATTATGGTTGCTATTTTTTTGGACTCTATATGCCATGTGTCTGGGAACAATAGTAATAGACCTATTGGGAGCATAAGTGGAAAGCCTGTTATTTTTAGTTTGTAAAGCATTGTTTGTACAATTGTCCACAGTTTTATGTCTTGGCATTCCTACCATATATGCATCATATTGGCCATGTGAGCTCCACACCTCCAAAATAGTGGGGTGACATTTGGGTATATTTTGTTTAGTCGATATGGGGTGAGGTACCAGCAATATACCAGCTTTTTGTGAGCCTCGACATGTGAGAAGTAAGATATTATACCTTTGAGGGCGTTAAGAGATTGCAACCACTGGTCAGATGTGATATTAGGCATACCTTCTTTTTCCCATTGCCCTCTATAAGAAAAGGAGTGCCGTGCGGCATTATCTAACAGGACTTTGTAGCACATAGATAGGGTTTTATGTTTGTTTGGTGTAAGGTAGCATCTTTCGTTTATCTGTGTAAATTGATCATTTGTAGGCAGTGCTTCTCTCTGGGGCATTATCACTTTTGTGTGTAGAATACTTTTCAATTCCAAATATGGAAAATAAATGAGTTTGATAGGTAATATTGAGGATCATGAGCAATATTAAGGATCATGAGTCTTGAATGCGGTTAATGCCCATTGACATCCAAGTTCTTAATGACAGCCATGGGGAGATTGGTTCAAGTGCTGTAAGGGGGGCTTGCATACAAATTTTGTTTTTGTCTTTCTTAGAGTATCGTGACTCATCCCATATACGTGATGAGAGTATGGTTGTCGGAAAGAGTGCAGAGGTATTCTCTTGGGATTGACAATATATCGTTCAGTGATCTTGCTGGGGTCATGGCATATTCCATGTAGATTCATTGGAGGATACCTTTAGGAGTATGATGTTTTACAGTTGATTATAAGATAGCTACTTTATAATAAGCTAACAGTTTTGGGATTTCCATGCCTCCCTCTTTTGGTAGTAATTGGTGGAGTGCTATAGGGAGGCGTGGTTTCAGGTGGCCCCATACAAACATATGTAGCGTATTTTGTATATTTTTGATCAGAGTAGGGGGTAGCGATAGCATTCTAAAAACATAAAACTTTTGAGGGTGAGTGGCGACCGTTTCACTCATAAATATGTGATAAATTGGTTTCTCCAATTGAATTGGCGAGTGTGACGTAGCTGTTGGTTTTGTTGGGCTGATATATTAATCGGCTAGGCTTAAGTTTTATTTTTATTAAGTCTGTAATAGGAAATCTGACTGTATTCGTCTAGTAGGGATATTAATTGTGGTAAGGAGGTGGTAGGGAGGCTCAATGATAGAAGGACATCATCAGCGAACATAGGCAATGATTTGTCTCTTTGATGCATATTCCTGTGCTTTGTGGGTTATTTCTAATTTTATGGGCTAGTGGTTCTAGTAATAGTATAAAGAGGAGTGGAGACAAGGGGCATCCTTGTCTCATTCTGTTGGTTAGCATGAAGGGTTTAGAAAAAATCCTGCATGTGATACTTGGGCCGATGTGTTACAGTAAAGAGCTATAACTCTTTCGATGAAGTCTGGAGGGAACCCATATCTCTCCAAAAACTGTTGTCAAGTATGTCCAATTGAGTATATAAAAGGCCTTCTCTGAATCTAAGGCTAAGAAAAGGCCTTTCAAGTTGTTATGTGTGAGACTACATTAAATATTTTCCTCGTATTGTCTGATCCCTGTCGCCCTTTTATAAAACCAGATTTGTTGTTATGAATTATTCGTAGTAGTATTTTAGCTAGTCTTTTGGCGATAAGTTTAGCGTATCATTTGGTGTTGCAGTTTATTAAGGAAATCAGTCTGAAGTTTTGGCGGTGAGTTGGGGGTTTACCTGGTTTAGGTAACGTAGAGATGTATGCCTGAAGCATTTCAGCAGGCATATTACCTTGGTAACAAGACAAAACAAACCGCACCCGATGTACATATACAGAATGTTATACGCACATAGGTCTGCAAATAATTGTACACAGTTGACCTCAAAATTAGAAGAAACGACAAAATAATAGTGCAGCACAGTATATAAAGTGCATATGTGATAGGTTGGTAATCTTTTTTTTTTTTTTTATTCTTTATTTTTGAGTGCATGGATAGACAAGACAGCTTACTCTGCCACAATAGCGTTAGTAAGCATAGACATATCACATTGATATTACAATTATGGCATTTGAGCAGTGCACGTTTTTGTATATAGATGTAGAAACAAAACATGAATTAATATTGGTTGCTCATTACAATTAAAGTTACTAGCTTAATCTGCGCTAAATCGTCAGCTTGGCTAAATAATAAGAACATTAATATAAAGTGAAAAAATCAAAGCTTAGTAGTACTAGGCTAGTAATATTAGTTATGCTAAAACAGTTGCAGTGTAGTAATGCGCTTTGCCGTGTGGCAATAGCTGGCCTGTGTGCAAGGTTTATACAGAGTGAGTTGCTCTTGTGTATGCTATTTGAAAACCGCGTATTTTAATTGTTATGTTGAAACTTGCTAGTCACAATTTTTATGCAGCTATTAGCTGCAGATCATTCAGTATTTTTAACCAGCATTATCACATTAACACTAGGACACATTTATGCTTAAAACCTTATAGGTAAAATAGTTAGTGCTGGGTAAAGCTTAAGCACTGCAACTATTGTTGATTGCATAAAGTATTAAATGAAACAAGTTATGTAGTTAACACTTATATAAGATACAATCAGGAGCTGGGAGACCAGCCAGGGTCCCCTGTCTGGGCTTAAATTATAAGTGAGGTTGAAGAGATTAAAGTCATGTAGTAGCTTTCTCACGGCTGTCCGTTATATTATTCAAGCAAATGACAGCAGGCTCAAGAATTGTTAGGCAGTCATGGCTACGGTTAGACAAGTTAAGTAGATAGTGAGTCACACACGTAATATGGATAGCATTAACACTGGCTAGTAACAACCGCAATCTACTTACACAGTGAATACTTATATAACCGGCACATATACCCTTCATGTTCCCCTTAAAATAAGTGCTGTACAATACGTATATTAAATAGGTTAGTAAGAGTTACATCAGTAGATAGTTAAAAGTGTTGTGATGCGTAAATCGGGTTAGTACTCACGACAAGTTACACGTGAGAAAAATATGTAGACTCTAATCAGATCACTCGTATATGTTTCGCCTGTAAGTAAATTGCACACAGAAAAGGTAGGCAGTGCCTTATTTAAAAAGGCATGCATTGAGGAGCTAGAGAAAAGGAAAACTAAATAGAAAAAACAAAACCAGCATGAACAGTGTGTTGCGTTTAAGCTGCTTGATCTGGAGTCTACAGCATTTTGGCCGACTAGAGGAAGCCCTTACACCTTTGGAAGGTTGGAGGTTTTGTATAACTGAATGGGCCATCTAGCAGACAGTCAACCAATGTCCACTCGGGGCTTGAGTCCATGTGGGCCGTGCAGGCCGAGTTCCTTCTGCTCTCAGTTGAGAGTGGAGGTGTTGGGGCCTTCCGTTCATGAGGCCTGTTCATCTGATATCTCCATTGGGTAGGGTCGGAAGACAGGTCTGTAGGGTAGAATTACTTGGGAGGGCAATTGCTCATTTCGAGGGATATTGGGTTGTCTGCGTTCCGTCGGGCACTAGGTCTTCATAGACAGCGTGTGTAGCGGTCAGGTGTGGGCAGGTTATGGTGTCCCTGAAGCTGGAGAGCCTGTCCTGCGTCTCTGTTTAGGTGATGACAGAGGCATAAGTGATCGGTGTGGTGCTCCGCGGTATAAACGCAGAAATTCTTGCTGGGTCCCAGGCGTGGGCTGGGGAGGTGGGAGTTTGGGATCCCGATTGGGGTAGTGAGTCCTGTGGTATGCCTAAGGTGTGCAGAAGATCTACAGCATCCTGCATGCCCTGGAGATGATGCGCTTTCCCTCCGTGTTGCACAAGTAGCGTATGGGAGGGCCGCCAGCAGTATTGAATGTTGTGTTGCCGGAGTGTGGAGGTGAGTGGTCAAGGTGATCTGCGCCATGCCAGAATTCCACTGGACAGGTCGGCATACTAGGTTAATTCTGTGTTTTCAAACCGCATGGGAGTTTTACCCCAGAGGGCGGTGAGGACAGTCTCTTTGTCTGATCCATTTCCTTGTGGCCATTTCCTTGTGGCCGTAGCTGGGGCCCTAGTGGGTTTCGGGATCTGGAAGATGCCCGTAGGTGTAATAGCCTTGGTTTGGCCTGGGGGCAGCACAGAAGTTAGCATACGCTTGATCGTTTGCGACAGCTCTGCCTCCGGTAGCCCCTCCGGGATCCCCCTAACCTTTAAGTTGAGTCTCTCGTCTCGTGTCCTCCTGGCCTTTCAGCTCTCCCCTGAGTGCGGTGACATCTGTGAGGATGTTCTTCTGTAGTTCTGCTAGCAGGTTCTTTAACACTCCGGTAGTTACTAGATCGGCGTCAGGGTCTGTTCTCGGTTTATTGGGCTGGTTTTGGGTCTGGGGCTGGGACTGGGAGATACTCCTCTTCGTCTCCCCCTGTGCCGTCATCCGAGAAATCAGAGCAGCCTCCGTGGAGTTCCACCATATTGACTCCGCTCTGGCCTCATGCCTGCTGCAACATTTCTCCTATCGTGAGCCCTGGGGCTGCTTTGTCCGGTCTCAGCTTTTTATGCTTACGTCCCATGGGGCTTGGGAAAGTTCTCCTTGCGGTACAGCGGTTAGTGGGGGTAGTATCGGCTGTATATATGCTTATTTTCTCAGTTTCTATCACGGAGCTCTGGGATTGAGCGTCCGCTTACTTTGCTGCTAGGCTCCGCCCCTCCCGATAGGTTGGTAATCTTAAGTCACTTCCATTCATTTTATTGAGCTAATTTAGAGCTCTTATGTTTTGCGCATTGCCGGAATAATCCCTGTCTAAGGATGTATAGTGATGCAATCGCCACAGATGCTTCAAATAAAGGGCAGTATGCAGGGTATATGTGGAGGTAAATACAGGAAGAAAAACTCCAATGGTGTTTATTATTTTTATTGATATAAAATCGTTTCAAGGTAGCATTCCTTACAAATGTATTAATATCTATGCATGTGAGGAAAGAATTATAAGGTTTCGTAGGAGCAAATTTTAAACCTTGTTTTAAGACATTTATTTGAGTTTCATCTAAAGTTTTATGTGATAGATTGAAAATGCTTGTAGGTAAATTGCTCAACTCTTTTTTTTTTTTTTTACACCTCTCTAGCATTCCTTTTTTGCTCTCCTCTACCTGACCTTCTTCATTTAGGTCTCTTTTGCAACTCTTTATTAGTGTTATATTTAGATGGTCTGTATATCTTTCTCGATTTGACAGAATCTCTAAAAAAGAGGTTTCATCAAATGGTTCACAAAAAGACAGGGCATGGTAACTGTTGTTTTTTTATAAGCTCATTAGGTGAATTTAGTCTGTCTTCCTCATGTCTTCTATGTGTCTTTGTATTATCTTTTTCCCAAGAATATTTTCTTTCTCTCAGTCTTATTTGAGGAGAGCTGGTGCATATGCGAATCTGTGTGTTTTGGGTCTAACTACTAAAGGTGATTATTTTGTTATTTGTTGTGTGTAGTGACTATTCTTTCGTTGTTCTTTCTTTTTCTTTGTGGTATAATGTATTTATGTCTTGTTTAGTCTCCAAAAGCTTATTATGTAATGTTTTGTTCTTAGATTTACATGTTTTTTATTACATGTTTTGTATATAAAGCTTTTCCATCCTTTTTGACCTCTTCAACACACATTTCAAATATGTCTCCCATTAACTTGATATTACTCCCCCTATTATAATTTTTTTAAGTTGGTGGCATATAAGTGCCAGAGTACCATTAAAAATATGCACCACAATTCACTATCCTTAGAGTGAAATCAATGTATCTGCTAATATAATTATGTAGACTTTTAAGAGATGGTGTTCAATTTTATTGTAGTACTTTTATTCTTTTATTTATGTTTTATAATTCTGGATTGGAGGTATAATCAATATTTCCTCTTTTTAAATAAATGGCTGTTTAGCCATTTCCTTTCTCTAGATATGAGTTAAGCCCACATTTCTGGCGCCTTACATATAAGGCTAATGTATATAAAGTTATCCCCTATGAATATATCTACACTCCATACCCCTATTTTTGTTATATAAGAAGTATATATTTATACACTTTCACCACCTTTTATATATATATGTTCCTCTATTTGACCTCTTCTAATATGGCTAATATCCCTCCGTGATCAAACGGAGATAAAGACATTCCCTAAATGGTGGGACTTACCAAAGGAATACCCTATACATACCTCTAGACCCTGCTGTGTGAAGGACCCACACTGATAATGATTGGAACGCAACCCATTTTGGTGGCATATGCATTCCAGACTGACACGCATCAAGTCCACTAAGACTACCAATGCCGGTTAACCACTGCGCTACTTCCAGTATGACGTGTGCGTTCCTGCATGGTTACAGGAAGCCAACAATTACTTTCATCAGGAAGTTATCTTCAATCAAGACCACCATAAAAAAATCCAAACTTTACAAGGACTTCTGAAGAAGTCTTGGAGAGACAAAATGCGTCAAGTGGGACTCCTGTAAGTATTTTAATAATGTTTTAGCGTTTTTTTGTTTGGTAAAATAAAAAGTGTATACAGGGAGTGCAGAATTATTAGGCAAGTTGTATTTTTGAGGATTAATTTTATTATTGAACAACAACCATGTTCTCAATGAACCCAAAAAACTCATTAATATCAAAGCTGAATATTTTTGGAAGTAGTTTTTAGTTTGTTTTTAGTTATAGCTATGTTAGGGGGATATCTGTGTGTGCAAGTGACTATTACTGTGCATAATTATTAGGCAACTTAACAAAAAACAAATATATACCCATTTCAATTATTTATTATTACCAGTGAAACCAATATAACATCTCAACATTCACAAATATACATTTCTGACATTCAAAAACAAAACAAAAACAAATCAGTGACCAATATAGCCACCTTTCTTTGCAAGGACACTCAAAAGCCTGCCATCCATGGATTCTGTCAGTGTTTTGATCTGTTCACCATCAACATTGCGTGCAGCAGCAACCACAGCCTCCCAGACACTGTTCAGAGAGGTGTACTGTTTTCCCTCCTTGTAAATCTCACATTTGATGATGGACCACAGGTTCTCAATGGGGTTCAGATCAGGTGAACAAGGAGGCCATGTCATTAGATTTCTTCTTTTATACCCTTTCTTGCCAGCCACGCTGTGGAGTACTTGGACGCGTGTGATGGAGCATTGTCCTGCATGAAAATCATGTTTTTCTTGAAGGATGCAGACTTCTTCCTGTACCACTGCTTGAAGAAGGTGTCTTCCAGGAACTGGCAGTAGGACTGGGAGTTGAGCTTGACTCCATCCTCAACCCGAAAAGGCCCCACAAGCTCATCTTTGATGATACCAGCCCAAACCAGTACTCCACCTCCACCTTGCTGGCGTCTGAGTCGGACTGGAGCTCTCTGCCCTTTACCAATCCAGCCACGGGCCCATCCATCTGGCCCATCAAGACTCACTCTCATTTCATCAGTCCATAAAACCTTAGAAAAATCAGTCTTGAGATATTTCTTGGCCCAGTCTTGACGTTTCAGCTTGTGTGTCTTGTTCAGTGGTGGTTGTCTTTCAGCCTTTCTTACCTTGGCCATGTCTCTGAGTATTGCACACCTTGTGCTTTTGGGCACTCCAGTGATGTTGCAGCTCTGAAATATGGCCAAACTGGTGGCAAGTGGCATCGTGGCAGCTGCACGCTTGACTTTTCTCAGTTCATGGGCAGTTATTTTGCGCCTTGGTTTTTCCACACGCTTCTTGCGACCCTGTTGACTATTTTGAATGAAACGCTTGATTGTTCGATGATCACGCTTCAGAAGCTTTGCAATTTTAAGAGTGCTGCATCCCTCTGCAAGATATCTCACTATTTTTGACTTTTCTGAGCCTGTCAAGTCCTTCTTTTGACCCATTTTGCCAAAGGAAAGGAAGTTGCCTAATAATTATGCACACCTGATATAGGGTGTTGATGTCATTAGACCACACCCCTTCTCATTACAGAGATGCACATCACCTAATATGCTTAATAGGCTTTCGAGCCTATAC